TTTTTTTTTTTTTTTATTATTCCTTCCTTTCTGGATAAGCCTTGTCGTAAACACGGATTATAAAAGCCGCCGGATTGAGCTTATTTCTCCCCAAACACCCGGCTGAATCAGTTGAGATGTCGCTGGGCGTATCGGTGGTCCCAGTGTCCCCATGGAGGGGACACGCTTTCTCCGGACCCTCCTCGGTGGTGGATGTTGGCTTCCTCCAGAGAAATCAGGGCATAATCTCACCCCAGGACCTAACTTCTTCCTCACCCTGAGCACCCTGGTACAACCCCTCCCGCTCCCCCGTTCCTCTCCGCTCTGTGACGTTGCGCCGGGGACGACCGTCCCCTCCGGAAAGGGGAGAGCCACATACCTGGTCAAGGCACTCCTGGCATCCTAAAGGAGAGAGAAGATGGGAATTAAACTCTGAGCGACCTTCAGGCCTGTTTCTCTCTCTCATCTCCCTCGGCTGTGGTTGGCGAGCGCGCTTCGCTTGGCTGGGGTTTTATTCTGCCCCCGCCGAGCAGCATCGGGGACCTCTTGTACCCACAGAGCAGCCCGTTCGGTCCCTGGCTGGGAGAAAAAGCTCCAATAGAGCTACTGGAATATTTTATCCACTTCCAAACACCGTTGCTTCTCGTCCTGGCACTGCCTGCCGTGGCCTTTTGGGGTGGGAATGGGCTACCTATGCCGGTGGGCACCCAAGATGCTGGAAGACTGATTCTGGGGTCCCCCCCTCCGGGGTCGGATACGACACAGCACTGATGTCGATGTCCAATATGTGATCCAGCTCCTTCATGAAGCGAACTCAGTAAGCTACACAAAAAATTAAACTGCTGAAAACCTGAATAAACTACCCAAAATGTCAGGGCAAAGAGACTGGGGGGAGGAGGGAGAGGCCACCGCCTCGTATTCGCCCCGTGGCAAGCCCGCTCCTACCTGCAGAGACTTATTCTCCGGCTGCGGGTTCATCCCTTCCAGCTCCCGGATGAGGTTTTCCAGGTTGGAGATCTCCACGGAGATCTTCCCGTCGTTCTCGGCCTGGGTCTGCGCTATCTGCTTTTCCACCTCCTCCAGCCACATCAGCAGGAGCCGCTCCTGCTCGTCCTGGAACCGGTGCAGCTGCTTAAACACCAACCGGATTTTCCACCTCTCGGCTCGCGCCTGCTGCTGCGAGGAGGAGAGGGGGGCGGGGTGAGAAATCCAAGACCTCGGATTCAAGAATTTGGGTGGATAAAACGGGAAGAAGGACTGGTCTTGGGCCCTGGGGACAGTCCGAGCCCATAGCACGTGGCTTCGGGTCTCCTTTGAGCTTTAGGTGATGCCCCGTGGGGTCATAAAACACGCGTTGCCTTTTGGGGAGGATTCTGTATATTTTTTCGGCTGGAGAAACGCAGGGAGAAGCTTCGCTTCATGTTTTTACCCCAACCTGGAGAAGACCAAGCGTTGCACGTGGGCATCTACGCGTCTTCGGTGGGGCAAATCCATCCGGGAGAGGCGTTTGAGGACCCCAGAGTAAGAGGAGGATGTGAAATCCCGTGGGGGCCGTCGGAAACAATCCCTGGCACGTGCGATTCCCCAAAATCTCCCAGGTGTTGGCCTTGAGGGAAGTAGCTGGATGGGATGGGACCGGCTCCAGGCCAGGGAGCGCGGCGGGAGAGACGCTCGTGGTGCCGGAAAGGCCGTTGCCCGATTCCGCCCTCTTTCACCCCGGCAACCCGCCCGTTCGCATGAACATCGGCGACGCCTCCTGCTTTTGAGGAAATCACCGTTTCTCACTTCCTTAGAGCTATGGATCCTCCTCTCCCCCCTCCCCCCAGCCTCTGGTAGCCCAAAACAGGGATGGGAGGTGGTGGAAACATCTGGTGTGGTGCACTCTCCGACGGAAACGTGTCTGTATCCGGATGCTCCGAGCGCCACCGCCCTCACTGGCACCCAGACGGCTACGCAGCAGCGGAAAAGCCCCATCGGGGCCCAAATTAGCCACACGCACCCCCCCCATCCCACTGGGTTGACCCATCTCCGGGGATGGGTGGCCGAAAGCACCTCCTGGGGCGCGGCGGTCTGTGGGAGAGATGGAGAAGTCTCGGAGCGCCATCCCTTCGGGAGCGCCATCCCTTCAGAACCGCCATCCCACCGCCCCATCGTGCGAATCCGCCCCGCTGAGACGGACCACGTGCAAGAGCGATGAGCCCATCTGGGTGGAGTGACGGGAAGCGTTTCCCTCCTCGCTGCGAATTTTGGTGCCCATCCGGCACCTTTCAAACCGCGGAATTTTTCCTTCGGGAGCGCCATCCCTTCGGGACCACCATCCCTTTGGGAGAACCATCCCTTCGGGAGTGCCATCCCTTCGGGAGTGCCATCCCTTCGGAACCACCATCCCACCGCCCCATTGTGCGAATCCGCCCCACCGAGACGGACCCCGTGCAAGAGCGATGACCCCATCTGGGTGGAGCGACGGGAAGCGTTTCCCTCCTCGCTGCGAATTTTGGTGCCCATCCGGCACCTTTCAACCCGCGGAAGCCTCCCACCCCCCATCCCGCTCCGTGCTTACGGCAGCGAGTACCTACCAGGTACTTGTGGCTTCTCTTCTCCCCGGTCTGCTTTAATCCTTGGAGCCTTTCCCTTTCATCCTTGAGGCTCTTGAGTTTGCTCTGGATTTGCTCCTGGGAATAACACCCAATAATTACAATATTAACCTGCAGGTTGTTCGGGAGAGAGGGACGCACGGCTCCAGTGGTGCTCTGCCTAATTCCCGGCGGCTTTGAGACCTCCAGAGCTTGGAAATATTTCAATACCCTTTACCCTCTGGCCCCTCGTCATCCCCAGACTTTTTCTGTGAAGCCTCTCGTGAACGAAGAGTGAAATCAAGGAAATAATTAATATTACACCCTCATTAACACGCCTACCCCGGTCCTTGCCGGTTCCTTCTCCCGGTATTTTTGTGGCCGCTTGTTTTCTGCGTTTCCCATCATCTGTTTTGCCTCGGTTGGATCATTCTAACCCCTCGTGAACGTGGCAGCTATTATTTTACCCTGAATCCGGTCCCCTAGATTCCCGCAACTTCCCATCGTCCGCAGAATCCGCGTTTCTGCCCAAACTTCTCACCTGCTGCAGGCCAAGGAATAGTAAATATGAATAAATTCCCCAGAGTTTGGGGGTTTTGAGGGTAAATTGAGCTTTAGAAATGCCTGTTTTTCAACATTTCCTCCCAAAATCCCACACCCGAAAACCACCGACGGCCATTTGCAGCCCACCCGGCCCCCCCACCACGTGTATTTCATCCTCTTATTTTCCCCCTCCTGCCCCTCGCTGCTTCTTCTCCTCCGTCGGGGGAATTAAAACATTCCCTCCCCAGCACCGCCCCGGTTATCCCAAGAGGGTTTGCTCGGAAAGAAATTCCTCCAGGGAGCGATTCCTAGCGGAAAGGGCGACTCATCTGGGATTTCCAACCCAATTCTCGCACAACAATTAGCAGCCGGAGCCCGGCCTGTGCACAGGAGAGTGAAGTTGGGGTCCAGCGCCGATAATTTGGGAATTTTCTACGTGCTCCCGGCCTCAGCTTCCGCTGCGGTCCCCGGAGAGGGTGACGGCAACTTGGGCGGTGGATTTCCGTGGAGGGATCCAAGCTGAGGGCGTCACCCCGAGGGGGTTAATTTAGAATCCCATGTTGGAGGGTCAACCTACTCATCCCAAATCTTGGACAATCCTACGGGGCATCCTTCTCCATGTCCTTAGGATGGTGGAGAAACACCCCAGTCTTGGAAAATCCTACGGGACATCCTGCCCCGTGTCCTTAGGATGGTGGAGAAACACCCCAGTCTTGGAAAATCCTACGGGACATCCTGCCCCGTGTCCTTAGGATGGTGGAGAAACACCCCAGTCTTGGAAAATCCTACGGGACATCCTGCCCCGTGTCCTTAGGATGGTGGAGAAGCCCCCAGTCTTGGAAAACCCTATGGGGCATCCTTCCCCATGTCCTTAGGAAGGTGGAGAAACACCCCAATATTGGAAAACCCTACGGGGCATCCTTCCCCATGTCCTTAGGAAGGTGGAGAAGCCCCCCAGTCTTGGAAAATTCTATGGAGCATCCTTCCCTGTGTCCTTAGGAAGGTAGAGAAGCCCCCCAGTCTTGGAAAATTCTATGGAGCATCCTTCCCTGTGTCCTTAGGAAGGTAGAAAAGCCCCCAAGTCTTGGAAAATCCTACGGGGCACCCTTCCTGGTGTCCTTAGGAAGGTGGGGAAGCCCCCCAATCTTGGAAAATTCTATGGGACATCCTTCCCTGTGTCCTTAGGAAGGTGGAGAAGCCCCTGGCTAGCAAACCTCAGCCTCTGGTGGCCCAACCCCCCCCCGTGTCTCACCTTACACTCCTGGGCGGCTTCCTCGATGGGAGCGACGGCGTGGGCGCGGTGAGCGTGGGAGCGGTCGCAGACCACGCAGATGGCCGTCCCGTCCTCCTGGCAGAAGAGCTTGAGCGGCTCCCGATGCTTCGGGCACAAGTTGCCGGCTCCGTCCACGTATCCCATCCTGGAGCTCAACGTCTTGGCGATCTCCGCCAAGTTCCTGAGCTCGCGGTTGGGTCTGAATTTTCGTTTTTGGGCCGTTCCCCGGCACTGAGGGCAGGCGAAGCGGCGGTCCGATTTTCCCGAGCAGCGGGTGATGCAGTGGCGGCAAAAGCTGTGCCCGCAGTCGATGGACACGGGATCGCTGAAATAATCCAGGCAGATGGAGCAAGAGGCTTCTTTCTGCAGGCTCTCCAGCGGGTCGCGCTCGGCCATGGCTGAAGAAGAATGACACAATTACTTTCGCTTCATTGGTTTGGGGTTTTTTCCTTTCTTTCTCTTTTTTTTATTTTTTTCCCAGCAGCGGCCGGGAATTCCCGTCCCGATTTGCTGCCTGAACCGGGAAGATCTTGTTTGAAAAGCCCAGCCTGGTAAAGGATGTAAAAGGAAGGAGGGGCGGAGAAACAGGGGAATTTCGGGCCGATTTTCTGTGCGAAAGGCGGTTTTGCAACACCCCCTGTGAAACCTGAGTCACGCCGAAAGGCGTTTCAAGGTTTTCGGGAGTCGGCTGCGGGAGAGAGGAGAGGGGAGAGAGGTTCCTCATCCCGACCCATGACCTCTGCATCCCGAGATAACGAGCTGCCGGCGGGGAGCGAGATAACAAGGGCGGTTTTACGGACGGCATCGCTCTCCCCCTGCCCTTCACCAGCATCTCCGTGCCACCAAAACACAAAATTGCAGCTTAAAAAATAAAACTTTTTCCCCCTCTTTTTTCCCAGGTGTTTTCGAGGCCGGCTGGAGGAAGAACCACGGGGTTGATCCGAGCTCCGTGTTGCCGAGCTCAGCATCCTCACCGCTCCTTTAGGAGGTGATCCCAGCCCGTGGGAGGGCAGGATGCTCCCACATAACGTCCGGGACTGGGAATCCATAATAAATCCGAGGGAT